TAAGGTCATATAGATCTACGTGCCGTAGATTAGAGGTGCTACAAGAGAAGATTTTAAAAAATAAAACCAAAAAAATGAGAGATCAGGACGATAGATGTTTGATAGAGGAGAAGGAGCAAACCACACCAGAGCACCCGCCAACCACCCACTAAAAGGTTATTTGAGAGGCTGGACTACACATCTATCTCGGGCAGAACCACGCCAAGTAGACAGGGTTGCGCTGTTAGCTCAATTGCGACCCACCACTGTGGAGAGTGAAAGAATGTAATAAAAAGTGAAATCTGAAGAAAAAAAAAGAGCTATGATCAACTAGAATAGACGAACTTGGTAAGCATCGAAAGTGAAAGTCCGCTCCGGAGTGCCCACTGAGAATTAGAGACGCAACTATCAAACGTTTCCAAACTTGCACATTGGCGGAGGTTTTTAGTTTAGTAGAGGGTTTACGTCGCTGGCAACTGCATAAGGTCATATGAGCGCCAGAAGATTAGAGGTGTAACAAGAGAGTAACAAACATAAAACAAAAGGGGAGATAAGGACGATAGATGTTTGATAAGAAAGAAGAAGCAAACCACACCAGAGCACCCGCAAACCACTCACGGCGGAGGTTAAAACAGAGTCACTGAACTCCAAAGATGCACCATAACACAAGTCACCAAATGTTGAGTTCCTTCATTTGGTTACATTTTAAAATATCTCTGGTGAAGAGGTCAGACGCACACACAAACACATCAGTCATTTTTACAATTGAAAAAAAAATGGACGGCCCCGATTGGTAAAACCACCCCACGAAGATCTCTGATAATCTAACGGGGAAAAAAGAAAAGGAGTATATCAACTATTCTGGCACGATCCAGCCATTTGTAAAGCCAATTAACAATGGTTTATTTATCTATTTATTCATTTATTCTTTATTTTAAATTGGCGGGAGGAGGAATATTTGTTTCACGTCACGGTGAAATCAGGCACTCGTCAATTTTTGGACAGATGTACTTATTGGTATCATCATGAATCTTGTTCATTTCTCTTGCTTTTGATTTTAAAGTACTCACACATTCTTGAATAGAAGTCAAGATACTTGCCATTGAAGTTGAAGTAGGTGGGAGTCGCCTGGTGTCAGATGTAAAATTGGCAATAAAATGACCACCAAAGTTTACTGACTTCCAAAGCTTGACTGTAATAATAATATGTGTGTGTGTGTGTGTGTGTGTGTGTGTGTGTGTGTGTGTGTGTGTGTGTGTGTGTGTGTGTGTGTTTGTGTGTGTGTGTGCTTTATCACTATTTATTCAGTAAAATCCGCACAGAAATATGTTTTCAAATGTACACACAAGGTACTGATAGAAAAAAAGGAGGAAAAAACGATAAAAATTGCCCAACGGGCAGAAAAAATGCCGGTTGCTTCGATTTCATAGTATTGACGAACGCCTGATTTCGCAAAGTTGACGCACATTCGACCTGGCATTCGCACACCGACGCAGTGACGTAACATACTACTCGTAATGGCGCCACCCAGCCACATACCGACTAGTCCGAGAGCAAGCAAAACATTAATTTTGTCAACATGTTACCCAATTCTCAGGACGAGCAGCTCTGTATATTAATGCCCAGCTACTCAGACAGCTAATGCAGTGCTACTTTGAAGAAACGAAACTTCATCGACGCTTCGAAGAGTTGAGTCAATAATATTGTTATTTGAATACCTATGAAAATAAGAATTGTTTAGGGGGTTGGGTTTTTTTTAAAAATTTGTTTCTTATAAACAAAGCCTATCAGCAACATTCGCTATTCAATATTCACTATTTACATGGCTATTCACTCATCATTCGGCCTTGTTATCATCGAGAACAAAGTATTTTAATATTTACCTCGAGATACAATAATATGCTCTGATTTTACGACGGGTTGAAAAAAAAATTAGACAAAAATCAATTGTCCGTAAAATCACATGGTATTCGAATGGTTTTACCACGCTTCGAATAGAACGTTCAATCATCAATGTGGGTGTTTCTTACGAGCCCATCGACACAATTTAGATCACTTACGAGACGGGCATCCGACCCTGTCTGTCAGGAGCAACCAGCAGAAAAACAAAACATTTCTCTCCCCAATCGGGAATCGAATCAGGGACTCCTAGATGCTAAAGCTAAGCGCCTATCCGCTACAACAGAGACCACAGTCGAAGAGCTGTGAATAGCGGGGAAAATCGTGAATGTTCAATAGAATTTGAAGTAAAATGGGGACAGCTCTACAGACGCGCAAAGATATTCACTCATACACACAAACACGCACGCTCACATGCACACACACACACACACACCACAGAGAGAAAGAGAGAGAGGGGGAGAGGAGGGGGCGAAGAGAGA